GAATTATCTGAGTCTGCCCCTAGGTACCAGTGGCCCTTTGCTGGCTGCAGGAGGAGTTGCATTGGGAGTTGCAATGTTTGTTTGTTTTGGGAGGTTTTTTGGTTTTTATCTTAACCAAATGGAATTAAAGGGGGCTTTTCATTAGCTGGGCACCTGTAGCAGTCTATAAACTCTCCTTGGGCAAATACTAGAGTTATCAGGGATGAAATATTCAGGTTTGTGTGGCAGAGGCAGAGGAAGTGTGCAGTGGATGTTATGTTCAAGCAATCGATTACATTTTATAGATACAAATATTTTATAAATATACAAATAAATATATACATATGTTGGGGGAGCCCTTATGACATTCTCGTATTTACCCTGAGAAGCTGCCAGCTCTTAGCTTCACCCCGAGGAAGTTGCCAGCAGAGTTGTTGTGATATATTCTCTTTATTTGAAACGGTGCTACCCGAGGTCCATCTTGTAATGTTTTCCGTTAAGGTTTATTAAGGATTTACTGAGGCAAAAAGTAGTGGAGAAATAAAATAAATAATTAAAATCATACCAATTTAGAACATGGCTACCCACTGAGGCTTCTCACAGCATTTCTCTGGTTTTCATAATGGTTAAGCTATTTAGGATGATACCGAAGCCAATCTGCTGCTTACATGTTTGTTTTGGAAGCACGTTAGAAACTTCCAGTTCTTGGCAAGTGGTTTGGAAGGAGCCTGTTAAACTGAAACAGGTGGTGTTTCTGCTTTTCTCCCCCTCTGCTAAAACCATCTTTTCCTCCGTTCCATCCTGTGCAAACATAAGGAGTCACAGAAGAGACCCATCTGGGGTGGAACATCAGGATGACACCTCCCAGCTGCCTGGAGGCACGACCCAGTGGCTTCCTTAGTCTGGTCAGTCTTAAAAAAGAGCTGTAATGGAAATAAATGTGTAGGATTGCAGTACAGAATGGCACGGAATAGCTGTGGTATGTGTAAGCTGGAGCAGTAGGTCTGCACCTGGGCTGTGGTGGGTTCTTGTGCTGGGACTGACCTTGTGTCTCTCTTGGACTTCACCACCACCGAGAACTGAAGGCACAGGCTGGAGATCTGCAGCAGCAGATCCTTCCCTGGCTGGGAAAAAAATCTCATTTTGAGAGACATCCAACTTAAAAAAAAAAAAAATATATATATATATTTTTTTTAGATGTCTGCTTTTTATAGCTTAAAACAAACATGTTTTTCTTCTGTTTGAGGAGTGTGTAGTTTTAATTAAGCATCACATCGCGAAGCCGTGTAGATGAGTCAGTCACTCGCAGCTGAACATCCATTTAACCACGGAGTCCAGGCAGACATCTGACTTTCTGCACCCAGGGTAGAGCCTGGCACCTGCAGGCAAACAGAAAGTTTCACTTAGAAAAAACCCAACCTAAAATCCCTACATTCATGATTACACGTTGACCAAGAGAAAATACAAAGACTCAGTTTTTTAAGGTGCCCGGCAGCACCCGGCACAATTTGCTGATGAGAACGAGCGCAGTGACGGTCTCCGATGGAAGTGTAAGTGATTTAAATAAGACTACTGTCTTTTAAATAAATGCTTCTCATTATTCTAGCCACATTGCAAGAAAGGTGTCGGTGCTTTTTAAGGAAAGATAAAGAAATTCTCCAGAGCAAAGGTAGAGCAGTTGGATTTTTCACACCTGTTTAATTTCTTGCATTTTTAGATGAATATGCTTATTTTATTTTCTTGTATATAAGTAAAAATTGCATCTTGTTGAATCACAGGTTTAAGACCTCAGCTTTCTGTAGGCAAAGCACAGAACACATGGACACTTGGCTGTCACCTTGTGTGCTGGTGGCTCTGTAGCCTGGAGCAAGTCCCATCTTCTGGACATCACCAAGGGCAGGACATTAAAAATTGTGGGTCCCCTTTTTGCTGTTGTTCATTGGTAAAGATTGGACACAAGGGGTTAATGTGACTCTTAGATGGGTATTTTTCTCTGTTGGTGGACAACTAACCTTTTTCCTTTCCATCTTGACGTTAGAGGTGCTCCAAGCTCAATGTGTGGAGTAGGGTGTTCAGACACCTCCCAAGAAGCCTGACGTTGAGCAGAGGAATTTCACACCGGGGGGAAATTTCCCACGATGGAAATCACCTGCTCTCCTTTTCTTCTCATGAATGTTTGGAGACCACTTTTGCCTCTGCTTTTTGAAACGCCTGTACAGCTTAGTTGGGCCAAAGCGTGGCTTTGAAGCCTGAGAAAATCCTTTAAAAGGCCACTGGTGTTTTAAGTTGAATTTTTAATGCCAAGGTAGTTTGTAGAAGGAGTTCTGCTACGCAGCTTCAGGAAGAGAAAGGGGAGGAGGGCAGGGAGGGGAGGAGGGCTGGCAGAAGACACCCACACATAAGTGATGTTCGTTCTTTTTTTTTTATTAATGCTGTCAAATTCCCGGGAATAGCTGTTAGCATTTCTAGCCAAGCAAAATTAATATGAGGATTTATTTTATTTTTTAAATTTCTGCCAATTTGAAGCTCTCAGCATGTATGTTGGATACAAATCAACTTTGTATCCTAGAGGAAGTCAACGTGTTCCTAAAAAGCAAGGCATTTTCCTTTGTGTGTTCCCTTTCCTTGCAAGGCTTTTCCTTTCTTGACCAAGGTGGAGGTGGCAGGCTTTGTGAAAGCATCTAGTGTTGAAGTGGCAGGAGAACAGTCTCACCAAAATCATCTAGAGATGTTCAGCAGCGATGAGGCACTATTCTTAAAAGCAGTAATTAAAAAAAAAAAAAAAATTAAAATTAAGACTTCTATGCAAACAGTCCTGCCAGGGAAGGCCTGGTGGGAGTGAGGAATGTGTGTGTGATGGCAGGAGGAATGTGTCCATGCATTGGGAAGGCCAAGCCTTGCTATGGTAACGCAGCAGGTTCCTGCAGCCTCCCAGCCATGGAGATGGGCAGAGCAGCTGCTGTATCATGTCTTCTGGAAGAGACTGATGGATCTTTACTCTGTTCCTTGTATTAAATATGGAGCTAATGGCCTGATGGTTGCCTTGAAGCTCCAGGCAAAGCCCTGATCAGGCCATGGGCCAACCAACCTTGGTAGCTCCGTACGTCACCAATGCTGGTGTGCTGCTTCCCACCTGGTTTGGGGGGAGAACAGTGGGGTTTGGGGCCTTCCTGGAGCAGGAGGAAATCCTGATGCCTGCCTGAAATCATCAGGCTGGGGCGACTGGGGGCTGCTTGCCTGCAGAGCAGCGAGGAGACAAAATCTTTGGGTTTTATGGTGATATTACAGTCCAAATCATTTCCAGACTCCCAAGGATGTGAAACAAGATGATGTGAAAAACATAAGGTTACTGGAGTTTTGAGTGCTTTCTATGCTCTTCTGGATAAATGGAGCAGAAAAGTCGACCAACTTCTCGTGGAGATTTCAGAGGCATTATTATGTTCTGCAGTTATTACATTGTGGTAGCTCTAACAACCCACAGTAAAACTGAGCCGTATTCTGCCGGGTGTTGTACATGTGCGGAATAACGGATCATCCGCCGTGTCGAGAGCTTGGGTTGAGGTCCATGCCTCAGGTATTCGTGCAAAAAAGTTTATGCACAGATTCTCATTCCTTGTTTTTTTTAGCCAAGAGATTATTAAACAGGAAAATAGCATAAAGTAGACATTGTTTTTTTAAAGAAAATTGATAGCACTTTACACCCGCACACACAAAAAAAAAAAAAAAAAAAGAAAAATGAAAAGCACTGATTTGGTAAATAAATGAAGAGAGAGAGATAAAATTACACTTAATTTCTGGCCAACTGGATCCAAAGCTGATTCTTCTTTTTTGTTTTGTCTCTGCTCCAAGCCATCAACCCGTACCCTTGTGCGACCAGAGTGTTTTAATTGTCCACCTCTGTGTCCCTCCTCTGCTTCCTAATCAGTAATTACGTGCCCCTCAGTGGTTAGTGATTAATCAGAAAGCGTACTGGAGTGTACTGGGGCATTTCATAGAACCACAGAATTGTCCAGGTTCAGAGCAGAAGACTCTGGTTGAGTTGAGTTTTAGCAGCTCACTGTTGAGAAACTTCTTGTTCTGGGGTCTGGCTGTATTTCCAGCTCAAGGGAAAAAGCTGCAAAATTTAGAAAACCTTAGGAGGGCTCATCAGTGGTGCTTAAGGTTCTGGACATGAGAAGACAGCTGGCAGGGCTTTCTGGTTTGGCCATCACCCTTGAGGTTGTCTCCTTGCCACTCTTCCCATCGTTTTTCTTGGGTGCGTTACTAACGAGCTCTGGTTTTTATTGGTACCCTGGAACTGGTCCCAGTGGTTCTGAGAGACACCCACCACACCACGATCTCATAAGGGTTCACATTTTCATTGCTGTCATACACACGTTGCTCTTCCAGAGGGAAAGAAAAAATAAGTGAGAAGAAGTACATTTTTGCTTCTAGGTGCTTTCTGTTCGCTTGCTTCGCTCCTCAGTGTCCTGCAAGCACGAGCTGCCATTGAAAATCAAATGAATTCTCAATTGCTTCCTTCCAATTCAATAAGTGGAGGGAAGCAGAGACCTGCCACCGGCGCTGGGAGGAAACGGGGCAGAGGAAGGCGCGGGTTCGGCAGAAAAACGTTTCCTTTTCTCTTTTCCCCAGGGAAGGTCCCCGGGGAGGTGGGACTGCGCCCTTGGGTGCCACAGATGAGGACCCTCACCTCCACCCGTGGTGGCACAAGGGTGGATTGTCTCCTGTGGACTTGGGTGGTTTCCTTGTGCCCTGACGTTTCCCACTTACACTCAACATTTTCCTCTCAACAGTTAGGATTTTGTCACAGGTGTGGTCACTGCGTTTCCAGAGGTGACGAGGACGCGTTTCTGTTGTTGCTGTGATGAATCTGTTTGCCTTTTTCAGAGCAGAAAAAGGATGGTGCCTGACTCTAGATAGAATGCTTTTGAGACGATCTATTTTCCTGCTAACGTAGAGAGTATGAGTATTCATTTTTACAATTTTTGTCGTTATAATTTTACAATTCTCTCTCTCATCAGGGCAGAGTCCTCGGCCACCTGGGAGGTGTGCGAGGGCGCGGAGGAGATGACGGAGCCGCTGAAGCAGTGCATGGCCTGGCTGCACGCCTACTTCTGCCAGCCAGCGAGGATGGAGAGCCTGCCCCTGCCAGCCTTCCACCACCCCCTGCTCCAGCAAGGTCTGTGCCATGGGCCACCCATGTCCCTCTGCTCCCATCAGCCAGGGCGGTGGTGGCTCCCGTCTCCATCATTCTTGGTCAATAGCAATACAGGTCATAGAATCACAGCATGGTTTGGGTGGGAATGGCCTGGCTGCACGCCTACTTCTGCCAGCCAGCGAGGATGGAGAGCCTGCCCCTGCCAGCCTTCCACCACCCCCTGCTCCAGCAAGGTCTGTGCCATGGGCCACCCATGTCCCTCTGCTCCCATCAGCCAGGGCGGTGGTGGCTCCCATCTCCATCATTCGTGGTCAATAGCAATACAGGTCATAGAATCACAGCATGGTTTGGGTGGGAAGGGACCTTAAAGCCCCCCCAGTGCCACCCCCTGCCCTGGGCAGGGACACCTCCCACCAGCCCAGGTTGCTCCAAGCCCCTTCCAACCTGAAATTGGATCCCATCATTTAAGAAAAATAATCTCAGAAGTCTTTTTACAGTTCCTTCTTGTCTGTCCATGGGTATCAGCATTTCCCATTGAATAAAATCTTCAGTTTAAGAGATCTTTCCTCCAACCTGGACTTGAAATTAAATAGGATCCCATCATTTAAAAAAAATAATCTCAGAAGTCTGCTTTTTACAGTTCCTTCTTGTCTGTCCATGGGTATCAGCATTTCCCATTGAATAAAATCTTCAGTTTAAGCTAAGGATCTTTAATTGTATTAGATTCCATTAGATTCTATAATAATATAGCACCAAAAAGGGACTAGTATCCTCTGTGTTACACGAGGTAGGATGGCACTAGTTTTTGTATAAACTCTAAATTACATATATTTTTTCACTGTCGTCTTTTAATTTTAATACAAATATTGTTTTTATCAGCTACTAAGATTTTGTTTAGAGGTTTTAGTGAAACTGTTCTATTAACAAGTGGGAGAATAATCAATAATGACACTATGATATATCATTTGTCAAAATTGCTAAAATGCTCATGAAGTACAACCTTCTACATGATTAAATTATCATCCAAGGATTATTTTTTATTAGCTAGGGTGAAATTAAGAGCCATGTTTGAAAACTTTAGGTTGAGTGTGAACGTGAGTGGGCAAAGCTGGATGTGAGACAGTTGCTGCTGTGGTTCCTTCCATCTCTCAATAACATCTTGAGTCAGAGTTGGTAGGAGACTGTGGTCCTTCCCTAGCTGGGAGAGGCTGGAGATGACTTGAAAGAGGAAAAATAAGTGTATTTGTTAATAGGAAGCTTCTTGAGGGGAAACAATCATCACCCTTCAATTTTGGGAAAGCTCTTCAGCACTTTCCAAGTGCAAAACCCAACCAGGAGGTGGCTGTTGGGCTGGGCTGGGATGTGGTGGTGGCCCTGGACATCACTGCTGGCCCTTTTTGCAGCACCCGTGGCTTTGTGAAGGATGTGGCTGGTGGTCCCACTGGCCGGGCTGGCCACCTGCTGGGCAGCAGTTGGTCCTCATGGGGTTTGACCTTCTGTACAGCTGGTTTGCTGCTGGGGAGGGGAGGGAGTGCAGTTTTCTCATTATAACACGTGCAGGTTCAGGTTTTTTTAATTTAGTTCAGTTATTTGCTCTTGGCCCGAGCCCAGGTGTGCATGTTTTATGAGGGGAAGGCACGTACGTAATGGAAATGCTAACGAAGATTTAATTGGCACAAATCACAATGATGTGATAGCATTTCTATTCTTCTTTACTTTCTCCTAGTAATACTTTCATAAAATAGAAAAATTTATATTGGAAGGAATGTGGAAATACGTGTCAAAAATTTAAAGAAACTATTTTTAAAAGTTATTTAGTAGAAAGGCAAGGTAAAAACTGCATTATAATGGATTACGTTGTACATTTCAATTTATCTGTAAGTCAGAAATGCAGTAACGCTAAATTAGGAATTTGGTATTTATTTACTTTTTCACATTTACATTTGAAAGTGCCTGCTCGTTTCTCCAGGCACTCAAAAATGCAGAATAAACACAAGCGAGAGCATGAAGATCCAGAGCCAGGAAGGTTTTTTTCTCATCGCAGTGATTTTCTTCCGTCTCTGCTTGTCGGCAGCTTTTCTAGTGAATCCTCTAAACCTTTGGCCCTTCTTTTCTCCCCTTCCCTGTAGATCTGAGCACTTCCAGCATGGGTTTGTTAATATTAGGTGAGTTGAGCTCTGTCATCAGTGGTTTTTGCGATAAGGAAAACTGAATTCTTGTGTCTTGGATTTTTCTAAAGCGCCGTTAATTTTCTAAGTGGCCATTAAAGGGGGGAGGAGTATTTAAAAGCACTCTAAATACCAAATTAACCATTCCTCCTCATAACTGGTCAGTGGCAAGGTTTGGATCTGGTGCCGTAGCACAGCGGGAGGCAGGAGAAGGTTGAAGCTGGTTTCTCAACACCTCCAGGAGCTGTCAGTTCACAGGCTGTCCAGTTTACCCTATGCAGCCATATTTTATTTGTATTTTTTGATGTAATTGAAAAACTGGAATTTTCAACAATTTGTGTCACGGCCGGCGCTCAGTGTGGACTTTCACTGAGCAAAGAAAAAGTTTTTCCCACTTCTCTGCTGCATTTCAAGGTGTTACCCCTTGGAAAAATCACTGAATTTTCATAATGGGAAATGATTAATTAGTCTTAATGTATCGTGATCATTAGCCCCCTGTATATATGAAGGAGAAAAATTGACCTTGTTATTGTTTTGAAGCCTGTGTTTGATTTGTGGGTCTGTGCCATGGAAAAGGCAATGTTAAAGCAGGCAGTGGTGGGTTTCCTGCCTCTCCCTGGTCGGGGCTGTGTGAGGCAGAGGCTGCGGTGGCAGAAGGGGTTGCAGGGCTGGGTGTTGTGGCCAGGGAGGGCCGTGTGTTTGCAGACCAGATGGCTCATTAGAGCAACAAGAGCAGAGGAAATTGGAGACACACAAGAGTTTTCCTTTGCCCTGTGACGAGCAGCAGCCCCAGGGTTCTGCTCTTTGCTTGCTGTGCCTTGCCACGCCACCATCCCCGCCGGATGAAGTCCTTTAGCTTCACAAAACCATACCTTTGTGTTCCTGAGCCTAGAGCTCCTCAGTCGGGTCCCTGTTCCAGAGCCATAGACCTGAAGCAAAGCTTTGCTCTTCTGCTCAGTCCAGCTCAAAAAATATTTCTTCAAATAAGATATGAATTATCATAGAATCACAGCATGGTTTGGGTTGGAAGGGACCTTAAAAGCACCCCCAGTGCCACCCCCTGCCCTGGGCAGGGACACCTCCCACCACACCAGGTTGCTCCAAGCCCCCTCCAACCTGCCCTTGAACCCCTCCAGGGATGGGGCAGCCACAGCTTCTCTGGGCAACCTGGGCCAGGCTCTCACCACCCTCACACCAAACAAGTTCTTCCCCACATCTCAGCTCCATCTCCCCTCTTTCAGTGTCAAACACTTCCCCCTTGTCCCATGGCTCCCTTCCCTGATCCAGAGTCCCTCCCCAGCTTTCCTGGAGCCCCTTGAGGGACTGGAAGGGGCTCCAAGGTCTCCCCGGAGCCTTCTCTTCTCCAGGCTGAACCCCCCAACTCTCTCAGCCTGTCCCCACTGCAGAGGGGCTCCAGCCCTTGGAGCATCTCCGTGGCCTCCTCTGGACCCACTCCAACCTGTCCACATCCTTCTGATGTTGATGGCCCCAGAGCTGGAGCTCTCAATTGTGGTGTCAGTGCAAGGGAGGAGGGCTCTGCAGGTCTGGAAGTGGCATTTTCTGTCACCTTACAAACCAAAGGCAGAGAAAAGCTGTGCAAAAAGATTGAGGAGGAACAACCTGAGGATGGAGAGAGGAGAGGAGAGCTTTGCAAGCCGGCTTAGTAGCTGAATTTTCCCCTGCATAATGCATGTCGTTCGTCCAAGAAGGGATATTGATGAAACACCTCATACATAATGGGAGCAGAGAGTCTTCAAAGAAGCTGATAGTACCTCCATTCTCCCTTCAAGATGACTTCGCTCCCTGCCCAGGCCTGTAATCAATAATTACCCTGTGATTTCCTGGGAGCCTTCTCGTTCAGAAACTCCAACCAAAGGCTCGAAACCTGGCGCGGTCCCCGCCAAAGGACAGCGAAACACGCTGTGAAATGTCAGTGATGGGCTGAAGAACCTGTGCCCTTTCTGGTGTCACCTCTGTGGGGTCAGACTCGTCCACCCGTCCTTCCATCCTGGTCTCTGCGGGTGGTGTTGGACCTCTCCCTCTAGAAAGCACCTGTGGAGAAAATCCTTCCATTAATGGCATCTTGGTCACTCTTCCACCCTCCTGCCCATGGCACCTGGTTGCACTTCTTTGTTTTACTGGTTTTGCACATTCTAATCTATTTTTTTAAAAAAGTCTGCTGCAAATTAAGAAAGGAAAGTAGATTTTATGCATTCTTGTTATAACTCAACAAAGACCAAAGTCTTTTTTATCCTTTCCATGGCTGGAATGCTCAAATCCAAGAGCAGGTTTTCCAAAGACTGTGGGGCTGTTAATTTGGTTACTTCTGAGACAAGAAATTCAGTGTCCCAGGAATGCTTACGTTTAAAAATGTTTTTAATCACTGTGCTGCTTACCCTAATTACAGTCTGCACTATAGCCTAAGAGTAAATTTTTATCACATACGATTCAACCGAAGACTTTTTCAATATATAAAGATTATTTAAATTAGAAAAGCATTTACAGTATTGCAATGAATACAGATCTGTTTTCCCTTGCTTTCAATTATGGACTTAAGAAAAAAATGTCATAAAAATCATTGACTTTGTTGAGATACAGCCAATATAGCTAGAAAGTTTGCAGCTTCAGGTGCCTGTTTGTAAATAATAGGACAGCAACTCTGTACTCACATTCAGTGGGAAAGAAATGGCTGGTAAAAATGTCATTCTTTAAAAGATAAGAATGAGTAAACTACTTTTCAGGAGCCCCAGAAGCAGAGGAGGAAGCACCAGGATGATATGTGGCCTAACAGGGGGCTAAAGCAAGACAAGTGGTTTTTGGGTTTGTCTGGAACTTTTCTAAGTATGTATTTTC